TAGTAACGTTGGGCGCTACTAGAACTGTAAATGCTAACAGTACTGATAACGGACATCGTAACACCCATATAATAAACACAAGCCATATTTTAATACAGTGTATAAACAAAATAGCGACGCCTATTACAAACACAAATTTACCAGTGGCCATACATAATTGTTACTGTTCAAGACCATTACTATATTAGGTACTAGGCTAACAACAGTCAAAGCGATTCGGTTGTGCATTTTAGAAAAAGCTAACGGTACATATGAATAGCAGCAGAGTATATCTGGGTTAGAAATGTAAAGGATTAAACACCTTACTTTTAAGGGATAACTGTGGCAGCTCGGCGATTTAGTGTTTAATTATAATTTTATCCCACACAACAACTATAGAGACATGCTAACTAATCCCAAACGTTGCTTTGCCAGGAAGTGATGTCACGTTCTTCAACTAAACTGCGATTTCAAAATAAAACTACAAATCTAAATCCGAAAATTTAAATATTTGTTTGTTCGTCTATTATACAACCTGGTTTGCTGTCATTTAAATGTATTGATTTATAATTTGGTTTATAATTTACTCCTAAACGTTGACAAAACTAACAAAATTCATCAGATATACACAAATTATACAAATGAACGAATGAGTGTATCACCAGTAAAGGAGAGATATTGCTGGTGTACGTTTTCATCTACTTACTCTCTTTCTCAACCATTAAAATTGGGGAGATAGATTTCTTAATTTGTCCTTGCGTTTTTAGGAAAATCAATTGCATTTAAGCAGATTAATTTGCAGACAATGCAAGGGAAAACAAAACAGAAGCCTTGTAAAGCTGTTTTGTTTTGTACTTCGCCAGTGGGCGGGGCTAACGTGCAAGTTGTAATGCTATTGGCTCAAACTCACCTTTCATTTTGACTTCAGCAAATCACTGTGGGCGAATGCAGGATTAATATTCATGAGGCCATTAGCCTGACATCTAGTAGGCATTGAAAAAACAATCTACCTGATCAAAAAGAGAAGTTGTATTTGACTATTGTGTGTAATGTTGTTCAGCGGATAAAACATTTAATATTTATGTAAACTCATTTTTATTTACTTATTTCAGAAACCCTGAATGATAGATAACAAAAAAAAAAAAATGTCTCAAGCTCTACTGCCAGCATATATTTCTCTAGGGTCTGTCGTCTGTGTAATGTGAACAATAAGTATTTGCATTCATACATGGTCGCAAAATCAGCACACCAGACCAGACTAACCTTTCTGTTAGACCAGCAAACCAGTTTAGGTTGGTTGAAGTCAATTTCAGCAGAGTTGTAATGAGTGAGAAGAAGCAGGCAGGAAGAGACCGATGGCTCAGAGCTAGCTTAAAGGTTGAGTGTATAAATTTGTTGGGAAATTGCATGTGAAATGAGTGTACCTGATGGAACGTCTACATTTATGCAATTCTCCCATCACACTTCAGATGTGCTACAGCCCTGCTGCCATGACAACAGCATTTATCATGACATCACCTCCCTAGAGTGACTCATACTGCACAGGTCTGCTTAAAAACTGAAATATTTGTGTGCATGACAATGAGAGAAAGAGAGAGGGAGAGACAAAAGGAGAGAAATTGATGAGTTTGTCTGACAGCGTTTACCTAATCAGTAAGGACGACAAACAACACACAGCCGGAGATGATTCAGTAGACATCCACATATTTAATTCTCTATGTAACAAAAGTAATTACACATCTTTGTTCCAGGAGCTTTACGATATTGAAAAAGTAAACAGAAACCAGACATTTAGAAATGCACAGCACACATACAGTACAGAAAGCATTGTATTGCACGACTGGACACAATTACTCCCTTTACAATGTTATCATTTTGGGACAATATCAGAATTTGCAGTGGAAGGTTACACACATTTTTAAGCTGTAATATAAATGTTAATGCAATCAAAATACATTTTCAATAATTGGGTGCATGTTCAGAACATCCATGTGCACGTGTATACATATATATTTAATATATATCTTATTTATTATCCAATTTTATGTTTTATAGAGTCTTTGGCACAGAAATTGTCATATTGGACTTTAGCTCACTGGCAGATCAGCACATTGCACAAAATCCACAAGGCCCATTTTGCACTTCCCATAATCATTACCCATGACCATAACTGCGTTTATGTAATTTAATCACAGTGATCATTGGATAGTCAGATGGTCAGTCTGAAAGATTGCAGACCATATATTGAGTAACGTTGGTACAGCTCTGAATTGCGGTCAAAGATCAAATTCAGTGACAGTGACCAATTAAATTAGATTTTCCCTTGGGAAAAATAAGTACACTTTAGCATACTTTTAAAAAGAGTACTTAATATACTTAAGTGTGAACTGAATGTAATGTTTTCGGAAACACTTAACTGCATGTTAATTGCAATTAAAGGGTTAGTTCACCCAAAAATGAAAATTAGGCTGCGTTTTACTCACTTCCGAGGCATCCTAGGTGTATATGACTTTCTTCTTTCAGACGAATCCAGTCGGAGTTATATTAAAAATTGTCTTTGATCTTTCAAGCTGTTTAATGCCACTCAGCGGGTGTTGCATTGCTTCAGTCCAAAAGAACTTAAATAAAAAGCGCCCATCCATAAAAAAAAAGTGTCTCGCACAGCTCTGGGGGGTGAACAAAGGCCTTCTGTAGCGAATTGATGCATTTTTGTAAGAAAAATATCCATATTCAAAACGTAATAATCACTTTAATCTAGCTTGCGCTCACTGTTGTAAACAGAAGCAGCTCCGGGCGGATGATGTATGAGGTCGGCTTTGCGCATGCACCGCTCAGAAGTGACGTACACGGAAGCGCAGCGGAGAGATCAAAACAAACAATGGTCAAGAATTAGAAGTACAAAACGATGATTTGTAAAGAAGAATGTCGGAGGATTTCGATATAAGCCAAGAGGAGACTGGTTTTCCTTTGCTAAAGTAAGGAAACTTTGCTTCCTTTGATCCTGTAAACAAACGTTGGTTTTCACGAGACTCACCGGCACATGCGCAACTCTGAACTCATACGTCATCAGCCCGGAGCTGCTTCCGTGTACAACTGTTGGCGCAAGCTACATTAAAGTGATTATTACGTTTTGAATATGGATATTTTTCTTACAAAAACGCATAGATTTGCTACAGGAGGCCTTTGTTCACCCAACCCCCGGATGTGTGTACTGTATGTGAGCCTTTTACCTAAGACAAATTTCTATCACTGGTTGATAGACAAAGTTTTTGAATCTTGAATCTTGCTCAATTTCACAGACAAAAATAGAACATAAAACTGTTGTGCCTTTCAGAACAACACACAGCGTTACTGAATGAAGATAGACATACAGATGATTGAATTTAGTTCCAGATGACCTGTTAATTAAATTTTCCACCTCAAGATTTTTTATGTTTTCATAATGACAATTACCGAATGTACTGGATGTTTCTGAATGAACATTTTCAATAAATGGTACAGGTGAACTTAGGAGGAAGCCTA